GGGGGAGCCACTCTGGCTCGACCCACCAGACACGACCCTGACTCTCGCTCGAGCGACAAACTCCTCGCTCGAGCGAAGGACCAAAAATCTGGGCAGCAACACTAGGCTCCCAAGTTCAACCAACCTGTAACAAACCTGCCCAACACATCCCATAACTCACTATACAAGGTACAAAGGATGCAAACATGATAATAAACAACAACCAACATCCACGGACACATGTCCGGATCACTGTACAACAAGGGTAAACCCGGGATCGCTATACATTATAATATAAATAAATAGATAAAAACAAAACAATGGTTCGAATATCGTCCTTATATTTTTAACAACAAAAATTGGAAATTAGTGATAAATTATTACCATTTTTTGACCAAATTTTTGTCTCAAAAAGTAAAATTTTTTTAGACCAAATTATTGTCCCAAAAAATCTATTTATTAATAACCTTTTAAAAATTGTCCCAAAAAGTCTTGTTTTTATCTTTCGGGACGACCCTAAAAATTATAAATTTAATTATTAATATGTATAAAACTTTTCGTTATTTTAATTTAATTTTTTAAAAAAGTAACCTGATGTGTAATCAACTAATTTCGTGCACTTCCTACCAAAACTAGTGACTTGTGTTTATGGAGGTTGTTTCCTCGCCTAATCAAAAGGAATAAAAAAATTACTCAAATTGATTTGAAACCAGTATATTATATTTGATTTGATTAATTTTGATTGAGATCTCAAATATTACGTTTTCACAATTTCAAACCATTACATTATGTATTTGATTTGAATAATTTTAACTGAGATTTAAAATTTTACTTTTTCACTTTGTAATATGATAGATTTTAATACGAACTTTACAACTCTCTAGCAAGAAAGGTGAAGGTGAATCTCACCTCGTGTGATAAAATTATATCTGATTGATTTTAAAATTTTTGTTATTAATTTAACAAATTATAGATGGATGAGATTGACAATGGTCTGAACCACCAAAAACGAACTCATCCAAAAGGGCCGATAGAATGTATTTGTCATCACCATCACTGAAGTGACCAAAAATGAACTCATCCAAAATGGTCTATAGATAATGTATTTATGTTTCATCAAAAAGAAATGATAATAAACCTATTTGGCAGCAACAAGCATATAATACAACATCAACATCATCACACAAATATTATCAACTGTTAATGTCCGAAAAATTCGACCAACAATGCCATCGTTTTGGGAAGAAGGATATTTGCCCAACTGTTTGTTCCAAGGGGGAGAAAAACAAAAGGCAACACACAAACATTACATAAGAAACATTACGTCAATATTCATTACCAGCCACCACCCAAACATTAATAAAGAAGCAACACACAAACATTAATAAGGAAACACAAATTATTTGCTGGGAAATCTCAGAACCAGCCACCACCCATTTCGGGATTTGCTACTGATGGGCCACCAATGCATTGCTCACGGGACTTCTTCGTTCGCAACCAAGTAGTGACAGCCGTGTCTGTAGGAATCGACATCATTATGGCTGGATTTGCAGGGTTGTCAAGTACCGATTGAGCAAAAGGAACTGGCGGGTCTTGCGGATCCAGCCCTTCCAGCGAATGCAATCGTGTCATACACTTCTGAATTAGGTGTTGTGCCGAATTTGCGTAATCATGTGAGACGCGGATTTGTCGTCGTTGTAATTTCACGGAGGATGCAAGGTTTTCCATACTACTCGCCAACAGAGAAGCTCCCTCACTCTGCCCTCTTTTCCGCTGTGGGTGTGTTGGGCCTGGCGATTTGCGTTTGTTCATGCCACTAGTTGGTGTGTCGTCAGCGTTAATTCCCGACGACGCAGCATGCATGGTTGCCGGCGTGCCATCCTCTTGCGCAACAGTGTGCTGCACAGTGTGTTCATGCTGCGCGGCAGGCTGGAAAGGGGGCAGCCCGCTGCTGTCCTCGCAGTCTTCGTCAGGCGCCTGCGAAGTACCGTCATCGGGTGCCACAGGTTCGAACGCTGCACCTGGTGTCCATGTATATTTTCCGGTTGTTGTAGCGCCCTCGTACACCCTTCGCATGAGGTCCATGTGCTCCAACGGTTTTGTTTTGAACTTGATTGCATTCTTGTCAACCTGGGAAAAACAACCAAAAACCCATCGGAAGAACTTCATGTCAGATAGTGAAACAGAGAATAATGGGGAGCAAACACAGGCAGCAAAGAAATAGGCTTATGTATCCATGTAAATGACGTACATAATAACGGTTATTTGTAGATTATTTATTAAAATAAAAAATAGATTGATTCGGTAGTCACATAATTTCAATATGTTTGTGTTAAAGAAACAGATAATGTAGCCCATAACCAACGTATTTGGATGATCTATTTTGTTCATTTTATGGACTTATATTTGTAGATTGTTTATTAAAATAAAAAATAAATTGAACTAGACAGTCACATAATTTCATTATGTTTGTCTTAAAGAAATAAATAATATATTTTCGAAAGCATACCTTTTATTGGGTCAAAATGAGTACTATTATTGGGTGAATAATATTTTTATTAATAATTGACATACAGCGGATTCGAAGGAGCAACGGTTCGAATTATGAATTTAAAGGCTGTAGTGGGCTCAACAGAACCAACTAGATGGCTCAATCTTCTCTTCAGTTAACAGAGAAGTTAGACCCCATTACAAATATTATGTAAAAAATTGAAATGAAGATACAAGGTAATAAACAAACAACACGTACGGGTCAAAAAAAATTTCAAAGAAATACAAAAAGAAAGGCCTCTATACTGATAAGGAGATATGAATTGTAACTTCTTATTAAGGTACATAAACTCGTAACCAACGGATTAACTTATTATTTTATTTTATAGGCTACCTTATGAGGGAGTCGTTCGAGTATTTTGTCTAAAGTTTCTTACAAGTATTAAGATTGTGTTTAGATTATTAATTTAGAGAAGTAACTTAGAAAGAGGGGGAAAAAAATGTGAGTGAAATGTTGTACTTTGTAATTCAGTGGATTTTGGAGAGAAAGTGAGTAGTAAGTTGAATATATGGCTTAGATATAATCATGTAAGGCAAGAGATGATTATAGTGGTTTGAAATATGAGACTATGGTTCTAGATGTAGTAACACTTAACTTTTTTGTCCCAATAAAGGATGATGTATAATAGTAGTTTTTGTTCTTCTTTGTGACCTCCCAAAAAGCAAAGAATCATTCACATTTATCAACCATTTTGTAATTTATCAAATTAAGTAAGCATAATGGAAAAATAATAATACTAATAATCTAATGGGAAAAAAAATTAGGATAAAGAAAAGATGTATTCTTTCTTTATATTATTTCCATGATAGTGGTAAATAATACTCTAGTCCCAGTCCAAAATGTTATTAGTTTAAGGTTCTAATCAATTTTCATGTTCTAATTTTATTTCTTAAATTATTATATACATATAATAACATGAATTAGAGATTCCTATGGTGGTGGGCTACATCCACAAGGCTAAATTAGAGACACAGTACGAAATGTCACAATTATTTATGTTTAGACCCAATTAAAAAAACTAGGGTGTACGTAATAATCTACACAACGCGCCATTGAAAATAAGCTTAAGCATTGACAATACTAACGGTTTAAGTATCCATGTAAATGACGTACGTAAAACTCAATGGAAATGTTACCTTTTCGTAATGTGCCCACCAGTTGTCAGATGCTTGTATCAAACCCGTGGCTTCATTGTAACTGATGCCGGTTGGCCCATGCCTGCTGTCCATCAATTTCGACCATGACTGCCAATCCTTTTTCAGCAACACGTACTTGTTCTGCAGTTGCTTGACGTCATGCACCTTATTTGTACGATCCAGAAAGCCCTTGCTTATAGCTCGATATCAATGCATTGTCATTGTATGGAAGCTCCCCTTGAAACCAACGTCCAACTCTTTGATAACAAGTTCCAAAAAAATCCGCACCGTGTCAGAGTCCCAAGATGCTTTATGCACGTTTGTGGACTGCTGATGCGTCTGTTTACTACCGCGTTTGCGCAAAGCTTTGGAAGGCGTCGACTGCGTTTGGGACTGCTCCATTTGCGTACTACAATGCAACAACAATTATGGTATACATGGAAAAATTGAAGACATTGAAACTCATAATGCGAATAAAATAAAAAACATATAAACAACTGTGTAACACAAGCCTCCAATACAACCGTCTTAGAACATTGTTATTGTTTTTTTCGTCGGCTCACACTACAGGTCTCCAATGATTTCCTCAAAATGTGTACCACAGAACGAACTCATCTGTGTAATTAAAAAGCAACATAGTGGACAATACAGAAACAACTTTACAACAGAAATCCTAGAGCATGTACCCTGGTCAATGGGATCTCTTCACAAACGAAATCAATGAACACTAACAATTGTATGCTAATCCGAAACTTCCTCAAAATATCTATTAGATAATGAACTTGTCTGTAAAACTAGAAGGTGATAGAGGACATTACAGAACAACTTTACCAGAGGAACCCTAAAGAATGTTCCCTG